GTTCGGTGTTTACATAGTCATAGCACAAACTATTCTGTGGCTCTGGAAAAATCAGTCAAAATGCTCAAAAAACTCTGTTTGCAGTATGGGACTCTGTTCTGAAAATGGCTGACAGTCAATGAGTTAATCCTCCGGGTTTCTGATTCGGTGGAAAGTGGACGGCCACAAACTTCTCCAGTTTAATTTGTGAGAGAAAAAAACTGAACCGACAGGCCTAAATTACGAGCATTTGGAAGGAACTCCGGATAGAAAGACTCCATATCGTGTAAAACATGACACTCTTTACATTTTACTGGCATTGGAGCATCATAAAGATCACTGATTGGATTCTGAGAGGAGATTTAGTGTCACCACTCGGATGATTGTGGTTTTCTGAGAGCAGACAGAAGAAGAAAACTGTGATTAATGACTTCTGATGATGACATAGAGACACATATTTATCTCATGAGTCATAAAGACTGAACCGGTTCGGTCTTATTCTGGACAGAAACATGACTCACATTACGGCCAGATGTGGAGAAGTGGATCAGAAACTGACAGTAAAACATCAGGAGTTTGGGATTCCAGCTTGTGGCTCTCTGAAAATAGTTTGGATTATTTTATTTTTTTAAAAACCGGCTTCTGTAGTTATCGTGCAATCGTTTCCCAGATATTATTAACCCTTTAAAGCCCGATCCAAGAAGAAAACTAAACAGAAAATTACTTTTTTTTGGTTTGAAGTCTTTATTTGGCCTTTTAACAAAATATGTAAAAAGAAAAAACAGAAATACATTTTTAATATTAATAATTTATTACTATGCGATAAGTCAGGATTATTTTTTGTGTATCTTCTGCCCCCTGTTATCAGGTGTATCTGATTGTGTTAAATAGGATTTAGAGCAAAGTTTTTACCATTAAATTATGCAAAAGGTGTCAGACACAAAACATTTCAGAAACCGTATCAAATATGACACATTTGGCATTATATTCTTTAATCAGTCAGGGGAAAACAGGGAATGCTTTCTGAATAAATCAGTGCATGCTTATGTGAAAGTTAAACAGGGAAAAGTGATTTTTCCTGATGTTAAAGTTTAGAAAAAGTTCATATTGTCTGATAAAATATTACTACTCACATATCAGAGTTCACAGATAGTCTGGGAACAGGGGATAAATTATTTTTTCTCATACGATAGAAGCAGGTTGGATTCATAAAGACAAACCTGGCAAAGGTTCTTCCTCATCCTGAAAACTGAGAGAAACCTCGAGAGGTTTTCACCTTTCAACAGCATTAAAACCCACAGAACAGAGTCCAGTTTGGTCCCAAAAAAACATCATCTATATGCTAATGTGTTCGTCTTTATGCATCTCATTAAAGATAAAATAAAATCTTTAGTTCTTCTTTACAGGTCAATCTTTTCCATGGATGGATGCATAGATAGATAGATAGATAGATAGATAGATAGATAGATAGATAGATAGAAGTTTTTTAGTGAAGTTATTGCTGCAAAAACTGGCCTCATATACTTGTTTTTTCACACTTATTTCTGCATTTTGACTCATTTTCCATAATGACCCAGAGTTAAATGCCTTTATCAGAGAACAGAGTCCAGTTTGGTACCCCCCACCCAAAAAAAACATTATTTATATGCTAATGTGTTCGTCATTATGCATCTCATTAAAACTAAAATAAAATCTTTAGTTCTTCTTTACAGGTCGGTCTTTTCCAGCTGCATTTATTTGTGTTTTCATTTGGTCATTTTGGTTAAAAGAAAGTCAGGATTTAGTCCATTTGTTCCTAAACTCTCTCTCTCTTTCTCTGGGGTGTTTTTTGGGACCACTCCTCAGTAATTCTCCCTCACCTTTGGACTCCACATGTAAGATTTGGATCCCTTTCACTTCCTCACACAGATCAGATCCAACAGGGCGGAGGAAATCTAACCTCAAATGACAAATCGGATCAATTCTGAGGGTTTATCGGCCTCAAATACAGACAGGAGGGAAGTCTGTTAGAAAAGAGAAAGTCATACATCTGATTGTTATTATCCCTATAATGCCAAATGTATCATATCTGATTCATACGGTTTCTGAAATGTTTTGCGTCTGACACCTTTTGCATAATTTAATGGTAAAAACAAAAAAAAAAACTCAAAATCCTATTGAACACAATCAGATACACCTGATAACAGGGGGCAGAAGATACACAAAAATAATCTGGACTTATCGCATAGTAATAAATTATTAATATCAAAAAAGTATTTCTGTTTTTTCTTTTTACATATTTTGTTAAAAGGCCAAATAAAGACTTCAAACAAAAAAAAAAAAGTTTTCTATTTT